AATATAACAAACAGCGTTCGAAGGCCTCGTCGAGCTCCTCGGAGGTTGGGTGTGTACCCAGGATACAGCACGCATTTCCCCCTCTGAACTGCATATTAATATTATGCGTCTGAATATTAATACATCTTCAGAAGTGACTCATTCCTTCTGAAGATGTATTAATATACGAAAGGACTTAAGGAAATTTCTGTTTCAATTCTTCCTCCTTGGTCTGACACTGTCATATATATATATATATATATATATATATATATATATATATATATATATATATATATATATATATATATATATATAATATATATATATATATATATATATATATATATATATATATATATGTATATATATATATATATATATATATAAGAAGTTGCTACAAGAAGTTGATATATATATATATATATATATATATATATATTGAAAATTATATAAATACTCATAAAATTTCGAAAATTAACATTTTTGATATTAGATCTAAAAAAAAAACGCATAAAAAATAAGCCAAGAAATATGGCTAAATATCCAAATTAAAAACTTAAAATTGAACATAATATATGTAAACATAAACACGACAAAAAATATGAACTAAATTGTGTTAATTAAATGAAGACAGTGAGATGGAAATACAAATGTAAAGGAGTGAGAAATACACCACAACTCTCCTCACTTGAAGTGCTTGACTGGCAACACAAAGAAAAAAAATTACAAAAACTTATTCACGTTATTAACAAGAAACTAAGATAACATTTGCGAAAACCTTAGATTAAAATAACATGACTGTTATTCTGAAGCTGCTGCTGTTCTGATCGGCATTTATATCGTGACATATAACATATATTCATAATAATTACATATATGGATATTTATTATATACTAGTATATGGTATACAAGTAACATTTAGTGCGTATTTAATATAAATATTTCTTTGTGTGATCGCGCGAGCTTGCATGAACGGTGTGTGTGTGTGTGTGTGTGTGTGTGTGTGTGTGTGTGTGTGTGTGTGTGTGTGTGTGTGTGTGTGTGTGTGTGTGTGTACTCATGTATTTGTGCTTGCGGGGGTTGAGCTCTGCCTCTTTGGTCCGGCCTTTCAACCGTCAATCAACAGGTGGACAGGTTCCAAAGCCTATTGGGCTCTATCATATCTACACTTTAAACTGTGTATGGAGTCAGCCTCCACCACATCACTTCCTAATGCTTTCCATTTGTCGACCACTCTGACACTAAAAAAGTTCCTTCTAATATCTATGTGGCTCATTTGGGCACTCAGTTTCCACCTGTGTCCCCTTGCGCGTGTTCCCCTTGTGTTAAATAGACTCTCTTTATCTACCCTATCAATTCCCTTCAGAATCTTGAATGTGGTGATCATGTCCCCCCAAACTCTTCTATCTTCCAGCGAAGTGAGGTTTAATTCCCGTAGTCTCTCCTCGTAGCTCATACCTCTCAGCTCGGGTGTGTGTGTGTGTGTTTACTATTTGTGCCTGCAAAATCGAGATATTAGCACTTGGATGCCGTCTTTCTATCTAATCTCATTTTCCTCTATCATGTCTACTACATATATTTCTCACTAACACACACACACACACACACATCCCCAGGAAGTAGCCCGAAGCAGCTGTCTGACTCCCAAGTACCTATTTACTGATAGGTGAACAGAAGCATCAAGGTGAAAGAAACTGTCGCTTTGCTTCTGCCTCAGCCGGGAATCGAACCCAGGCCCTTAGGACTACAACCTCCCGAGCGCCCTTAAGACCACGACCCCCTTAGTCACGAGGCCCCTGTGTGTGTGTGTGTGTGTGTGTGTGTGTGTGTGTGTGTGTGTGTGTGTGTACTCACCTATTTGTACTCACCTATTTGTGCTTGCAGGATCGAGCATTGACTCTTGGATCCCGCCTTTCCATCCAGCTATCGGTTGTTTACAGCAATGACTCCTGTCCCATTTCCCTATCATACCTAGTTTTAAAAGTATGAATAGTATTTGCTTCCACAACCTGTTCCCCAAGTGCATTCCATTTTTCCACTACTCTCACGCTAAAAGAAAACTTCCTAACATCTCTGTGACTGTGTGTGTGTGTGTGTGTGTGTGTGTGTGTGTGTGTGTGTGTGTGTGTGTGTGTGTGTGTGTGTGTGTGTGTGTGTGGAGTCGTGTGCACTTGCGTGTAAACTAATACGCATTATACGCCGAGAAGTATAGGGACACATCACCCAATACTGCAATTCTCCGGGGGGTGGTGGGCAAGGGTGAGCAGCGGGAAGGTGGCAACACTGCTGGCTTCACGTCCTCGGGGAGCCCAGCCCGAAACTTCTATTGGCCGCCTGCCAGCCCCAGCCCCTTCACTCTCTACGCTACACACAACTTTCCTCCACCACGGCCCATTTTAGAAGATCTTTTGGAGGAGAGGATATTTGTGTTGCGTGCGCTCCCTGTCGTCCAATAGGAAGACAAATTCATGGAGGCTTGTTTCTCTTTGCAATTCTCTATGGGTTTGTTGTGTGCATTGCTGCATGAACGTGTTTGCGTTTGTAGATGAATCTGAGTGCACTTCTGGGTGAATTTGTGTGCATTTCTGGATGAATTCGTGTTAATTTCAGGGTGAATTTGTGTGCATTTTATGGTGAATTTGTGTGTATTGCTGAGGGAATTTGTGTCTGTTACTGGGTGAATTTGTGTGCATTTCTGAATAAATATGTGAGCATATTTGGGTGAAACTGTGCGCACTTCTGGGTGAATTTATGTGCATTTCTGAATGTATTGTGTTAATTTCAGAGTGAGTTTGTGTGTATTTCTAGATGAAATCTGTGTGCATATCTGGGTGAATTTGTGTGCATTTCAGGTTGAATTTGTGTGTATTGCTGGGTGAATTTGTGTGCATTTTTGGATGAATTTGTGTGCATTTTTGGATGAATTTGTGTGCATTTTTGGATGAATTTGTGTGTGTATTTCTGTGTGAATATGTGTGCGTTTATGGATTAATGTTTGTGTACATTTCCGCATGAATGTTTGTGCATTCTGGATGCACGTGTTTAGCATATCTCTATTACTCTCCCGGGTTTTCATACTGTACTCTCTTTAACGTTAATCAAACAAATGAAGGAATAAGATTCGAGTGACAAAAAGAAACGCGATTAATGACAAATTGCATATATGGGTCGATAGCTTCTTTGTGTCATATTTAAATTTTGACGCTCTTAAAAGGTCTTAGTTTGTAATATTATATATAATCTTAACAGTTTACCGGAACAGACCCACTGACACCAGTCACCGGACGGTCAGTACACATTTGTTATAAATTCATTTAGCTTCATTTTTATTAATAATTACTTATTCTGTAGTTAAGCCTGTAGCGTCGTACCGTTGCAGCGAGCAGACCAAACACGAGCATCACCAGAACTTGTTCTTCGTTGTCTGATAGCAGTTTTCACGCTGTGTATTTTCTGAGCAATAACCCTATTGAATATCGATAGATTGTTTTCTATACGCACGGGCCAATATCATGATGCTGCTTATGACTCGTATTCCCTTATTAGTGAAAAATGATTACCCCTGACAGTGTAAACAGTTTACCTTTACCAGTCATCAGTTTCAAATTCTCTCATATATTTGTTTTAATGCATATCTGTACAAGATTCACTCTGAATATTTATTTGTTGAATGGTTTGTAACTCCCAGACGGCTGGAGTTGTCTCAAGATACCTGAAGTTGTCCCCAGACAGTTGGGGTTGTCTCAAGATACCTGAAGTTGTCCCCAGACGGCTGGAGTTGTCTCAAGATACCTGAAGTTGTCCCCAGACGGCTGGAGTTGTCTCAAGATACCTGAAGTTGTCCCCAGACGGCTGGAGTTGTCTCAAGATACCTGAAGTTGTCCCCAGACGGCTGGAGTTGTCTCAAGATACCTGAAGTTGTCCCCAGACAGTTGGGGTTGTCTCAAGATACCTGAAGTTGTCCCCAGACGGCTGGAGTTGTCTCAAGATACCTGAAGTTGTCCCCAGACGGCTGGAGTTGTCTCAAGATACCTGAAGTTGTCCCCAGACGGCTGGAGTTGTCTCAAGATACCTGAAGTTGTCCCCAGACAGTTGGGGTTGTCTACTAACGGCTGTAGCAAGTTAGCAAATGGTTATTCATTAACAGTTAAAATTATTTTTTTTTTATAATTGTGGGTTGTATCCAGGCGGCAGTGGTGTGACCTCAGGAGGTGTGGCCTCGCCAGCTGTGACCAGATCCTTGGCTGCTATTGTTTTCGTAAAGTTTTCTTCACTGTGTTTTATCAATGTGTTTCTTTAAGTGTTTTGGTTAAAGTTGATCTGTATCTACATCTTCATACAGATGGCCTCATTAGTTGGCCTCTGGTGACGATACGATGTTGTTTCGTAGTTTTCCAAGCGGTGTGCAGCGAAGAGGGTTTGGATTATTAGTACAGAAAAAGCCAGACACTCAAAATACTCAGCATTTTTAAGGCCTTGGTTGCGAGTGTTGACCTATACTCCGGCCTGGCCTGGCCTGGCCCCCAGGGGTCATTAGTGCACGTGTGTGATGGTGGCAGAGATCACCCTGAGTGACACTGCAGCATGTTGTCATTACTTGAGGTCTGCCGCCACCCACTGATTCTGTGTTTGTTTTGATGGTGGTAATGCGGCCCCGCCTGCGTGGTGGCCGCCGCCCTCCCCGCCCCGCTCTCCCCGCCCCACACCACGCCTCCTGCAACAACACATCCTATGCTCCCTCCTCCATCTGGAAAGGTTTGCCAAGGACAGTGCTCAAATATTTCCACGGCTGGGCTAATTAATGGTTGTTATAGTGGGGTGAGAGGTAACATACAGTGAACATCGGTGGCTGACATCTGAGATGGGAGAGATAAGAGCGGGGTGATCCTGGAGGTTCAGCGCCCGCCAATGGGAAGCCGCGGCGGCTGATCTATGGTACGGTGGGCGGAGCACCGTTGGGCTCCGCCCACGGTCGTGGCCTCCACCGCCCTCAGCGCCTGCCACAGTGTGCCTCTCGCTCTCCGCCTGGAAGGAACTGTTGTGCTGCGCTGCGCTGCGCTCGTGACACTCGGTATCGGTGCGAGTGACTTGTGTGAGACTGTTGCCGAGAAACTGTAGTTTGCGCATTGAGCGGCAGTGCCGTGTAGAGACAAGGCAAGATGATTGTGTGTTGTGCAGGCTGCCAGAAGCCCATTACAGGCAAATTCCTGGTGACGGTGCTGGAGAGGACCTGGCATGCGGAGTGTGTGCGCTGCTCCGACTGCGGCTGCGCCCTCACCGACAAGTGCTTCAGTCGGGAAGGAAAACTCTTCTGCAGGAGCGACTTCTTCAGGTGAGTGTTCCAGTCCTTTCCCCCCCTGGCTTCCATGGCCCAGTTCGGTGGGTTTCACAGCGCGTATATTGGCCTGGTGGGCGCCGAGACCACCTCCAGCAGCCTGCTGACGGCAACAGCAGTCGGGTCGTGGAGACCAGTCAGCCACAAGGTGGACTGGGAGACAGTGACAAGTTATAATAACAGGCTGGGTGACGGACCAGCATCCTCCTCTACACATCTTTCTCTCCTGTTGCTGACTGTAGCATCACTGGCTTACTTCTACTTGGCCTGCCAGTTGAGAGTGAAGTCGACGCTGTGCGTTTGTCTTTTAATTGAAAGGCTGTTGGCTATGCTTTTCCTTAACAAGCCAACGAGCAGTAAATTTGAAAATAAATTGTAATAACCTTAAAAATGTCTGAGCAGTATAGGCGGCGCTCACAAGTCTATACTTAAAAAATTTATCATTTGTTAAGCCTGTGGTGGTTAGGAATTGATTCGCAAACCACGACCCGGAGTCTATGATACCCTGGGCGGCTCCGCTATGTTTAACTCTGACAATTTCGAACTAGGCCTATGTGCTGGAGATGGATAAACTCCTTCGTGAGAGCTTCGATGCAAGATATATAAACTATTGACATAAGTCAGATGAGTTGAATCCCCGTAACAAACAGCATATAGCAACGGAAACCCTCATAAATCGTCCCACTAATTACATTAGCAACAGCAACTGTGTAAGGAAAATATTACCATCCAACCAGCGACCCAAATTTGAAATCTTATTGCAATAAAAAAAAAATTCACAATGACATGACAACGAGTAAATAACCCAACTCATCCATAAAATGCAAAGGCAGTGATGACGCTCAGGTCCGTCCTGGAGGCTCATCAGGTCTTGGGATGAGTTATGTAAGTCGTATTATCGTGAACACGTTCAGGGGTGGGGTAGGGGTCCTCCCCCCCTCCCCCCCCGTGCCACCTCAGTTATGCATTCCGCCGGGGCATTGTATATATATTTTTCCCGCTCCGTCATCAAAGGTGATCGAGCACAGCTGTCAAAATAGAGCGCACTTGTTCACCCTGGCGGTAATAACTAGCGCTCACGACAACAAATAAAATGCTCCATTATTCTTGTGATTCTGCTGAGAGAAAGAACTCTTGCTCTGTCGAATAATAAAATATTAAAGTATAAAAGTTTAGATAATTGAATCGTATCCAGCAGTGTTTAACTTCTAGAGAGACAAACTGTATTGTACGAGTTAAGCACACAATGTTCTTGAAGGATGTGAAGGCGGTCGGGCTGTCATTCACAAACAAGTTGGCTTGTTTTCACTACTCAAACAGCTGTTTATGCTAATGTTATCCTCGCCCGACCGACTTCTTAACACGCACACTCGCCGCCACAACACTTCCGCGCCGCCTCCACCACATTTCCCGCATCGCCACTTCAATACTCCCCCTCACCACCACCACAATAATTCCTCTCACCATCACAATACCCTCCTCACCACCACTATAATCCTCCCCTCGCCAATATCACAATACTCCCCTCACCAGCACAATATTTGTTGCGGAACAGCCCTCATAATTCGACAGTGTTGGGCTTCCTACCAGTACCACACTCGCTCCTGTTTACACCTCACGTGTTATCAACATTTCACTAGTTACCTCATTATCTGGCAACTAATGAACTGAATCCCTTCAGTTATATGTAAGGAATATATACATTGAGTATATGTGTGTAAATCACGAAAATTAACATGTGATACACAATTAGCACGTGATTAACTCTATATATATATATATATATATATATATATATATATATATATATATATATATATATATATATATATATATATATATATATATATATATATATATACATCCTATGACAGTGTCAGACAACGGAGGAAAATTGAAACAGGAATTTCCTTAAGGAAATTCCTGTTTCAGTTTTCCTCCGTGGTCTCACACTCACATTTTTAATCACGTGTTTATTTTTCGTGATTTACACACACACACACAGCTGTGTGTATATATATATACACACAGCTGTGAATATATATATATATATATGAATATGAATATATATATATATATATATATATATATATATATATATATATATATATATATATATATTGTACCTAGTAGCCAGAACGTCGTACTCGACATACTATGCAAGGCCCGATTTGCCTAATAAGCCAAGTTTTCCTGAATTTATATATTTTTCAATATTTTTTCTTATGAAATGATAAAGCTATCCATTTCATTATGTATGAGTTAATTTTTTTTTAATTTGAGTTAAAACTAACGTGGATATATGACTGAACCTAACCAACCCTACCTAACCTAACCTAACCTATCTTAACCTAACATAAACTAACACAATTAAGTCAATAATTTATGTTCTTAATATAATATAATAATAATAATTCAAATAAACTAATTGGAAACAATAAATTGAAAATAAAGAAAACCACTCGGCCTATTAGGCAAATCGGGCCTTGCATAGTAGGCCGAGAAGTGAGTTCTGGCTACTAGGTACAACATATGAATATATATGTCGTACCTAGTAGCCAGAGAGCACTTCTCAGCCTACTATGCAAGGCCCGATTTGCCTAATAAGCCAAGTTTTCATGAATTAATTGTTTTTCGACTACCTAACCTACCTTACATAACCTAACCTAACTTTTTCGGCTACCTAACCTAACCTAACCTATAAAGATAGGTTAGGTTAGGTTAGGTAGGGTTGGTTAGGTTCGGTCATATATCTACGTTAATTTTAACTCCAATAAAAAAAAAATTGACCTCATACATAATAAAATAGGTAGCTTTATCATTTCATAAGAAAAAAATTAGAGAAAATATATAATAATTGAGGAAAACTTGGCTTATTAGGCAAATCGGGCCTTGCATAGTAGGCCGAGAAGTGCATTCTGGCTACTAGGTACGACATATATATATATATATATATATATATATATATATATATATATATATATATATATATATATATATATATATATATATATATATCTTCATTCTTTCTGAAGATGTATTATTAAATACGAAAGTACTTAAGGAAATTCCTGTTTCAATTCTTCCTTCGAGGTCTGAACAAAGTGAACCTCGGAGAAAAACACACAAAATGAATTAGAGGGGAATTTTTGGGTCCCTTCCAAAATATACATACATACATATATATATATATATATATATATATATATATATATATATATATATATATATATATATATATATATATATATATATATATATATATATATTGTACCTAATAGGCCAAGTTTCCTAACAAGCCGAGTTTTCCTGAAATTAGATATATGTATAAACAAAATTATTTGGAATTATAACGTTTTCCATTATATTATATATGATTTTAATATTTTTTTGAGTTAAAGCTTACATAGAAATTTGATCAAACCTAACTTACTTAGCCTAAGCCCGTAAGTCATGTTCTTAATATAATATAATAATATTATTTCTAATAAACCTATTTGAAAATACACATTTGAAAATAAATAAATCACTGTCTGTTAGGCAAATAGGGCGTTGCATACAAGGCCAAGTAGTGATTTATGGATATTAGGTACAACAGATGTTACATATACCTACACACACACACATAACTTGTGTGTTTATCTATGAATGCTTTTAGACACTAATAATATAAAAATATTTATGCAAGTGGTTAGAGGGGAATGAGTCACATAAGGTCACGCGCCCTCACACACACACACGTACACATGGACACAGAGGAAATAGTCTGGTTCCTCTCAATATTTGCTGATGGCACTAAAATTATGAGAAGGCTTAAGAGAAAGGGTGACAGAAAGAGACTACAAGATGACCTAGACAAACTGAGGGAATGGTCCAACAAATGGCTACTAGAGTTTAACGTAAAATAATGGAGATAGGTGGAAGGAGCAGGAGGCCTGAAACAAGGTACCAAATGTGAGATGAATCCTCCATGAAACGTGCAGAGGATGTATTGGTTGATATCACACTGAACCTGTCTCCTGACCCCCCACAACAAAAGGATATCATCAGCCGCTTAAGCGGGGTTGGCTAACATAAGAACTGTCTTCATAAAATTGTCAAAGGAATCATTTAGAACCTTACGTATCACATATGTCAGACTAATCTTGGAGTATGCGGCTCCAGCATGGAGCCCGCACCTAGTCATGCACAAAACGACGTTGGAAAAGGTTGAAATGTTTTCCCACCAGAGTAGTCCGAGAACTCCGAGGTATGAGTTACGAGGAAAGGCGACATGAATTGAACTTGCGCCGCTGGAAGACAGGAAATTTAGGAGAGACATGATTATCGCATACAAAATTCTCAGGAAAAATTGACAGGATGAATACAGACTGTATAGCACGCACGGGTGGTACACGAACAAGGGGATACAGGTAAAAACTAAGTACTCAAATGAGCCACAGAGACTTTAGAAAAAATCTTAGTAGGAAATGACGTGGAAGAGGCAGACTCTATTCACATCTCAAGTGTAGACTTGATAGAGCTCAATAGGCTCAGGAACCTATACGTCAATAAATTGCCTGTCGAGTAGTGGGGCCGAAAACCGAAGATCAATCCCCCCCACAGGCACAATTAGGTGAACACACACACACACACACACACACACACACACACACACACACACACACACACACACACACACACACACACACACACACACACACAGAAAGATTTTAGAAATCTTAGAAATTAGAAATCCCCAGAGATATTAGAAAGAACTTTTTTAGTGTGAGAGTTGTTGACAAATGGAATGCATTAGGAAGTGATGTGGTGGAGGCTGACTCCATACACAGTTTCAAGTGTTGATATGATAGAGCCCAATAGGCTGAGGAATCTGTACACCTGTTGATTGACGGTTGAGAGGCGGGACCAAAGAGCCAGAGCTCAACCCCCGCAAACACAACTAGGTGAGTACACACACACACACACACACACACACACACACACACACACACACA